ATAGAGAGAGAGAGAGAGAGAGAGAGAGAGAGAGAGAGAGAGAGGAAAACAAAACAATGGTGCCCACTGCAACAGAACACAAAAATGCTGGAAGAGGAAAAATGGGCAGTAGAGAAAAAAAATAAAAATAAAAAACCAACAGGCAGGCTTCTGAAATCCAACAGGTAGCACAAGGACATAGTCAAAGGCAAAAATCAGGTCCAAAAACAGTAAGGCTCAGTAACTGGATCACTAATGGGTGTCAGGCAGACAGTGAGAAGGCCAGTGCCAGGTGCTGGATCAAAAGGGTGGTGCCAGTAGGACAACAACCCAGCAAGGTTGAGGATTAGTAAAGATGGAGATAAGTCATAGGTGAGTGGCATTAACCAGCTGTCCAGAATCAGTCACTGATTGGTAATAGTAAAGCTGGAGAGAGTTAGCCAGTGAAAACCAGGAAGCTCCTTTCACATTAAGTCTCTGACAGGAAATCAGGAGCAGAACATGACAATCTCCACATACTTACCATGTTATTTATATTCTTTATACCAGAAGCATTAATGAAGGTCATCCATGTGTGCATTTACTTCATCTGTGGCTTATTTCAGCAAAATGTTAACTGCAGTGAACTTTTTTTTTTCCACAAAAGCCATGTAGGAAAGCACAGATGGAAATGATAAAATGAATGACTGAATAGGAGAGAAACATAATTCAAATTATTAGTAACACCTGTGCTTTTCCTAAAGCACCAAGTAGAAATGTCTGCTGTGAAAAGGATCTAACGCCTTCAATATCAACATGGTTCTGACTCTCCTCTCATTAAGAAATAGATTTGAAAAATTGTTGATAGCATACTGTACTGTCATGTTTTACAGTTTGATTTTTTTTAAAAGCATATCAGACTTGATTGTGAAGTGTCTGAAAAGAAAGTTAAAAGGGAGATGTATTAGTCAGAAGAGTTGGGCTTTTTTACTGTTACTTATGTGAATATCACAAGGAAAATGTATAAATAACTCCAGATATGTGCTGCAACTATCACTTGATCCAAAACTGTTGGAAAAGAATGTTAAGAGTGAGATGCATCATTTGGCAGATTTGATTTGCTGATTGTGAGTAGGCCTGTCACACTGAAAGTGTAAGATAACTCCAGATATGTGCTGGAAACATTACTTGATTATTTGGCAGAGCTGCTGTGATTTGCATCAACATCTTTTTAAAAAGCCATTATGACTGTTATACATACAGTATGCTATTTGTGTGTGTGTATGTTTCTGTTCAAATCTATTGTTTTGGCCATTCATAATAGATGCATTCATAATAGCATGCACAAGCTTTTGTACATGTCACAATTAATATTTAATTTGTTCTTATTTTTTATTTTGGATGTTATTTTCAAATGTGCATGTGGGTCTTTTTTGTCCTTATGTAGTCATACTAGAAAAGTGATTTTTTTTTTAATCAACTTATTTTCATCCTCTTATTATTGTTGTTTTTTTATGTTTGCTTTTGTATTCATGTAGGCTTCTTGACATGTTTCATATTTATTATTAGTTATACTCTATTCTTAGCTGTCAGATAAAAAGTGCATAAAAAGTAGACTACTGTATTTATTATACATAATTGCCTGTTTCATTAATGTGCCACTTTATACTTAAACCTTACTGCCTTTCAGAGCAAAATATTGTACTCTTTCAATACATCTCCCTCGCATCTATAGTATGTGCCAGCCGTATACTTATCTTATGATTTTAATACTCTATGATGAATATATACATCAAGATGTTCTAATAGCCTAGAATAAATGAGGCTACCCAACAGCGCCAACTCAGTTACATTAAAATCCTGACATCAATGTGTCAGTAATGTCCTATATATAACACTATTGTATTGTTATAACACTGAAAGGGGCGATTCTACATATTGAGCTGGGGGCGGAGAGCACCTGGCGGTATCCCCCATAATGCCCATCTGGGCAGGCTGTATGTAGTTGTGGGTTTTGGCAGGGGTTATGTTCCCTGGCTGTGTTTAATAATAAAAACGGGTCCAAGGAGCCACAAATAGGCAGCTTCTGTCTCCTGCTTCTTCTTTCATTCAGCTTACATTACAATACTGTACTTTAGAGTAAATACATTTTTTGTTTTACTTACATACTTACTACTTGCTATTGCTTTTACTCATGTAGACAATGAGAATACGTTTTCCATGACTGTCACATTAATAAGCACAAAATGTAACGATTATCTATGGCACATGTGTCATCGCGTGATCTGAGCGCGGGATTTCCCTGGGCGGTGGGTGGAGACTGGACAGAGCAGAGAGGAGTCAGTATGCATGCAGTTGATCTCTCTGCCTTTCTGACAGCTAGGCTAGCTTGTGAACAACGCTAAAAAGCCCCGGCTGTGTTTTGGAGAACCTAATGACTGAACACACCGCTGTTTTTGCTGATATTCTCCGTGTCCGCCGGTATCATTCTTTTCAATTCCTCCTTATGCCAGTGCTCCAGTTCAGGATCGTCTCTGCAAAATACTGGGGTAGTGATGCTGCCCGAGTGAGCTAACCTTTCAACTGTCTTCAGGGACAAAAGCAACATTTTCATTGAGCCCAAAGGTAGGAATTATTGTACAGATAAGGTTTTAATTAGTTTCTTTGGCACATAATATTGTTCTTGTATCGATAAATTTCTTTTAGCTTCACTGTCACTGGGCATGCCTTTGCAGGTGTCGGTATATCACAGAAAAGAGTGTGTCCAGCAGCAGTCTCTTAAGAAAGACTCCACCAGCTGATATACAGACAGGCTACCTATAGGGCTGAATGAAAGAATAGCCTAATGTGTTTGAAAACTGTGCATGATTAAGTAGAATCCGCATTTCCAGTGTCCCAGTACTTGCTTCGAGTAAATGGAAATACATTATTATCATACTGTAAACGTTAATATAGTTGAGCACATTTTCAAATATATTAAAATATCACTGATAAGAACACCGGTATCAAACTACAGTGATCCTTAGACTACATGATAATAGTATCTACCATGTAGTCTTTTGATGTACTGTAAGCCCTAAACAGTATAGTTCAACTCAAGTCCACAAATTAAAAGGTGAGTAAACTGAGTTTTTGTGGATACACAACACTGCATCCAAGTATGTGTACCCAGCTCTCTAGTGTGTATGATGTAATGTTAATTTTAATAGTGTCTGAGGCACAAATCTAGGATTTTAAATTAGAATTTGTCACTTTGTTCCAGTGTATGCTGTAAATTTACAGTTTGAGCATAAAACCAGGCTCTTGACTACAGTGTTCTTGTCTGTTACACATGAAAAACATCCTTCATGTGAGGTATTTATGGTCCATCAGCTCCCAGACTGGATGTTATTTTATGTCCTTCCACATGCTTTTCTGACTCAAAGATCTGTAGTTATGGAAAACGTCCCAAAATCTCCTGAAATGAGAATGTGTCAGTTAATTTACATGCAGTGTGTTTTAATCCCACTACTATGTAAACAAGGAGCCAAAACTTGCACAATACCTTTTCTAGGCTGTTGCCTAATCATACAAGGGCAATTTGCATCAGTATCTTGGTGTTTCTTTTATGCCAGATGTTAGATTTGGATTGGCCACACTGGCTTTTAGTTCACAGTGTATATTATTTAAACTTATTGTGACATTTCATCACAGCTAGATTACATCACCACATGTGATTTTATTTCATTTGTCCGTTCCCTTTGTTTCCCCTGTCCTCTTTCAGAAATAAGTGTGGATACATTCGAACAGGGTCTTGCTATACAGATCCAGAGCTCTCCTCATTACACTGTCACTTTGATATGTTTTGGGGAATAATTTGAAGCAATTGTTCACAAGATTTAGCAAAATTGAAATGCGGACTTGTGCAGGAAGACAATAGTTTGGATTCACCTCTATGAATGGGTTGTTTTCAGTCTCAGCCCTAAAATATCAGATATTCATGTATGTCCACATCCTATAACTACCTGACTTTTCAAAGTGTCACCGTGTATGCACTCACACTCAGTATGTGGTTTAGTACCTCTGCAAAGATGCACATGAACCTCTTTGCTGAGCGATTTCTGCGGTGAGAGCCATTTTTAGGTGATCATGGCACAAGATGCTGGTGGAGGAGCTGATGTACATGCACCTCAGATCTTCAGTTATGTGTTTTAGATGAATAAAAGGCAGGATTTCTGGCACAGTGACCTCAGTAGGAAACTGAAACAGGTGCATTCAATAACAGAACAGGCTGTTGCCATATTGGGCTGCGTCTGTTTCTACAGCCTGTGGACGTTTACATTGCAACAGGTTTTGTTTGCTTTTGTTTTACTTTATGAGTTGAAATTTACATCCAATTCCATGTTTTCTTGGCTCTCTTTGTATTTTTATGCAGGTATTAGTGCTTTGTGCTGTTTATTAACTCATCTACTGAGTAGGAGACAGTCCTGGGTGGATCCCTTAGAGAGGTTTAGGGAGGTGGGTGTGCACTGATCTATACTGGAGGTAGGGCAGTTAATCAAATGTACATTTGCAAAAAAGAGAAGTCTCCTTGAAGTATTAGCTTTTGTAAAACTAAAAAATACAGTTTGAAAACACCTGTAATAAAGTATAAATCTCACCTTTGTGTCACTTGTCCAAGTTCATTTTTGAGTGTGGAATGGGGTCGCTGTAGCCCCTTGCAACCTTTATTGTAGACACCCACAACTGCGGTTCTCTCCCACTGTCACGGACCACTGTGTGTTCTGTTCCTCATCCTCAGGGGGAACATTATGCCCATTATGACTTGGTGCGCTGCATTGAGGCAACAAGTTATGGTGCTAGAAAACTTAGTTTGACACAAAAATGAGATTTATGCTTTATGCAAAGTGTTTTCAATCAAAGAAAAAGCTTTCAAACATGAAGACAAACTGGGTGGTTTGGCAGATGTACATCTGGTCAACTTCCCTACTTCTGATTAAGAGCAGTGCACAGTCGCTTCTCAGAGCTTGTTGGTGGCAAACATCCAGGACTGTTTCCTACACTGTGGGTCACAAAAATGCATATACATGGCTCTACCCTTATACAGTGCCTATAAAAAGTGTTCACCCCTTGGATGTTTTACCCTTTTATTGATTTTTATAAATCTATCATGGTAAATATAATTTGGCTTTTTTTTGACAAAAAGACAAATCATCTTTAATGTCAAAGGAAAACAGGTTTCTACAAAGTAATGTCAATTAAATAAAAATATATAATGAGAAATGTGTTTGCATAAATATTCCCCCCTTTAAAATAACTGACCTAATTCAACAGAGGTCCAGCCAATTGGCCCTAGTAGTCTCACAATTAGAGAAACAGGGATCACCTGAGTGCAGTGAATGTGTCTCAAGTGACTGTAGTATAAAGACACCTGTGTCTGGAAGGTCCAGTCACTGGTTAATCAGTATTCCTAGCTACCGTTACACCATGAAGACAAAAGAACACTCCAAGCATCTCAGAGAAAAGGTTATTGAAAAGTATAAGTCGGGATGGATACAAAGAAATTTCCAAGGCACTGAGCATCCCCCAGAGTTCAGTTAAATCCATCGTGAAGAAATAGAAGGAATATGGCAAATGTCTAAATCTGCCTAGATCAGGTCGAACTCACAAACTGTGACCGTGCAAGAAGGAGACTAGTGAGCGAGGCCACCAAGACACCTATGACTACTCTGAAGGAGTTATGAGCTTCAGCAGCTGAGATAGGAGAGACTCTGCATACAACAACAGTTGCCTGGATTCTTCACCAGTCAAAGCTTTATGAGAGAGTGGCGAAGAGAAAACCACTGTTGAAGAAGACTCGTATTAAATCTTGACTAGAGTTCACCAAAAGGCATGTATGTGGGAGACTCCATGGTCAAGTTGAAGGAAGCTCTTTGGTCTGATGAGACCAAAATGGTGCTTTGTGGTCGTCAGACAAGATGCTATGCTTGACGGACACTAAACACTGCACATCACCACAAACACACCATCCACACTGTGAAGCAGACTGGTGGCAGCATCATGCTGTGGGGATACTTCTCAGCAGCCAGCCCTGGAAGGCTTCGAAAAGGTAGAGGGGAACATGAATGTGGCACAATATAGGAAAATCTTGGAGGACAATGTTATTCAGTCTGCAAGAGAACTACAGCTTGGGAGAAGATTTGTTTTCCAGTAAGACAATGACCCGAAGCATACAGCAAAAGCTACACAGAAATGGTTTAAAGACAACAAGGTGAGTGTTCTGGAGTGGCCAAGTCAAAGCCCAGACAGCAATCTAATAGAGAACTTGTGGCTGGACTGTTCACACCCGATCCCTGCTCAACCTGGCAGAGCTTGAGCAGTTTTGCAAAGAAGAATGGAGTAAAATTGCGGTGTCCAGAAGCCTGATTGCGACCTATCCAGGTTACAATTTGGAGCCTTTTTGAGAGTAATAAGCCAGTGAGAATGCTGGCAAGCTTTTTGGCTCTTGCACTGCCTAAAGATTCAGGTTTCTAACTGACAAAATATTTGATTTTGGCCTGTGTGAGGTTTCAGGAACCAGGAAATTGTGTTTGCCTGATAAGAAACTATTTAAATACACCTGTAAGAGTGCTAACAGTTATTTTGTGCTAATTTGGTTATCCATTTTAACCTCCTCACACTTTACTGATGCCCTTTTCTCATTTTGTCAAGCCAGACTTTGATCAAACCCACACAGTTTTATTTTAAATGCCAGTGGAAATATCAAAGCTCCCGAAAGATAAATATCAGGGCTGATCTTCAGATACTATGTAATATACCCTTTACATGTACAGTATCAAGTATTCCTGTACGTAAACAATTTAAATGGCTGCCTCATATTGCGTAGTCAGAGTAGCAAGTAGTTTGGCAGTTATTATGAACTGCATTTACTCAAACACAATCCACACACCATTCTTTGCACACAGAAGTGTAGCGTGTAGTGAGAATGTGGTCATCGCAGACTTCAGACCAGGTGTACAGTGGGGAAAATAAGTATTTGATACACCACCGATTTTTCAAGTTTTCCCACTTACAAAGAACGGACAGATCTGTAATTTCCATCGTAGGTACACCTCAACTGTGAGACAGAATCTACAAAAAAATTCCAGAACATCACATTATTAGATTTTTAAGTAATTAATTTCCATTTTATTGCATGAAATAAGTATTTGATACAATAGAAAAATAGAACTTAATATTTAGTAACGAAACCTTTGTTTACAATTACAGAGGTCAGACGTTTCCTGTAGTTGTTGACCAGGTTTGCACACACTGCAGCAGGGATTTTGGCCCACTCCTCCATACAGGTCTTCTCCAGATCTTTCAGGTTTTGGGGCTGTCGCTGGGCAACACGGAGTTTCAGCTCTGAACCCACGCTACAGGGTTCAGGTCTGGAGACTGGCTAAGCCACCCCCGGAACTTCGAAAGCTTCTTACCGAGGCA